TATAATAATTACACTTATTAAATTTATATTACTTTTGAGAAAAATATTTTTGTTTTCTTTAACTCTAATAAAATCCTTATTATTAGCCCACGCAAAAAATTTTTTCAATCAAACAACTGTCTTACTTTGTGTTATATAATTCACGAAATATTTATTTCTTAAAAGACTTTTATCAACCCATGTTTACAGAAAACTCATTTTTCTATAAAATTAATCACTCGTGTTCGAATTCTTGATTTTATAATTAATTTTTATTGAATTAACAAGTTTAACAATTTTACGAAAAAGATTTTAAACAGCCGAAATAAAAATCGGTTTATTTTCTAATTTCTTTTTAGTAATAGGCTTATTGTTTGTGTGGCTTGCTTGTTGTTTGTGTGGGTGTGTGGTGCGATGTGTAAAAACCAAACAAATAATAACACCCAAACTAATTAAAATCAGTCCCTGTGTGAAGTGAATAATAATGAAGTGCTGTGAACCAGTCAGTTGAGAGGAGGGGGTTCCGGGGCAAGTGGGAGCTTTAGCTTCAGTTACCAACTGAGGCTTTGTTTTAGAACATAATATTGGCTCCGTCCACTCCGTCGGTCCCCAGCAGGTCCCCTTTCGGTCCCCTTTTGTCTATGATGAGGGTCTAGTTATATTTTTCACTGAATTTGGTTGTTATGTTACCATTTGGTTAATTATTTTAATTAAAAAATCTTCGCAAGGTGAAAAGTGTTTGGAAAGATAATTAATGATAATCTTATTAATTTTAAAGAGGTGGCAAATTCAAAGAAATTAATTAAATCATTAACCATTTTAATGGGAATTTCTGTTTTTATCTTCTTACAGGCAAGTTTCTCTCATTTTAGTACTATGCTTCGGCGCAGACCGGGTATGGCGCGACCGCTTGTAGAACATTTTAATGAGTACCTAGAGTCCTGAAATTTTGTAGAGATATTCTGATTGATGTTATCAATCTTCTCTTAAAATTTCAGAATTTTTGGTTAACTATTTCAGAAGTTATGGTCGAAAATTGACCTGTTTCTCCCATAAATCTTTATTTTTCGGTTATAACTTTTGAAATATTTCTGAAATTTATTCAACTATTAGATAATATCATCTAAAATATGTGTGCAAAATTTCATTTGTATAGGCTTTCATTATCTATTATTTTTAAATTAAATTTACTCCTTGTTCTCTCACAAAGGTACACCTTCCCTTATATGTATTCTCCTTTCCCCTAAAAGCCATTCTAAAATTTAATTATTTAAAAATGTTTTTAAGGGACAAATTTGGCGAGTAGTTTTAACATATGTCAGCTTTGATGCTTTTGCTAGTGAATATTATATTAGTTTTCCCACTACATGTCTTTACATGATTGGATTTAGCAGTAATTTACCTGTTCTCGTTATTTTTAGGTTAAATTCCAAATTTTTCCTTCCCCAAAAATTTTTAAAATTTTATAGTTCGGAATACAAAACAGCTTTCTATAAACATCTTGGCTGGCTATTTTGTATCAAACCTGGACAGCAACGTCCAGTTGTAGTTTCCATGGTTAGAACATTGGATCAAGTCGGGCCTAGAATGAGAGCGGATACTAATACTGTTGGTACTCATTCTAATGTTACTAATACTCGATCAAGAACTTGATTGAAAACTGATATCTTATTAAATCAGATTTCCCCCCTTTTATCCCAAATTTTTTCAAATTTTTTCTTCAATTTTCTGTAAATAGCCTGAGGGCAAATGCTTGTAACTCTGTCCATTTATTTCCTATAATTTTAATTTTGGTATCATTCGATTCAGCTCGTCGAGACGAATCGAATGAGTGGTCATTTGGTTGAAATTTAAATGTTTTTAATTAATTTTCTGTAAATAGCCTGAGGGCAAATGCTTATAACTCTGTCCATTTATTTCCTATAAGGTTAATTTTGGTATCATTCGATTCAGCTCGACGAGACGATCGAATGAGTAGTCATTTGATTGTATTCCTTTGTATATTTTTATGAAAAAAATTTTTTTTCGTGACTATGTCCTCGCCAAACAAATTTAATTAAATTTCAATATTTTACAAAAAAATTAAAATACAGTATTTATGAAAAAAAATTCACTCGAGTTTTATAAGAATATTATATTAAAATTTAATTTTATATATAAGCAACAATTTGTTCATTTCCATTCTTTTCAAGCAACTGTCGTAAAGAATTGTTTTCCTCTACTGACCTAGCTTTACGTTCCCCTTCAATTTTTAAAGTTTCTTCCTCACTTCTTTTTTTTCTTTTTAATACGGCATTGTTAGAAGCCGAGGACTGTGCCGCCCCTTTACTTTGGACACCCGATTGTTGGTTATTAAATAAGGATTGGACTCCGTTTGTGTTGACAAGTTGGCTAATACTAGAAACGTTTGTATTGTCCCCTGTTGCGTCCACACTTCCACGAATATTTTCAGCTAGGGAAAATTTTTAAAGAATTTTTTAAGTAAAAATTTTTGAAGTATTGTTTAGTAGAATACCGTATTTCCTATATTAGAGCCCCACCCTCTGTTAGAGCCCCACCCTCTAATACAGCCCCACTTTGGAGGATAGTTGAAAAATAGAGCCCCACCCTCAATTAGAGCCCCACCCCAAATACAGCCCCACCTAAAAATATTGGAGGAAAAAATATTAGAATAACTTTTAAGATGTATGTATTAAGAGAGTTAAGGAAATAAAGGGGGATATCTATGATTTCGTGATCATTGAGGAGGAGGGATCATGGGGATTAGGGATGAAAATGAGGGATTAATCCCGTTATCCGTCAAAATACTCTAATATCGCCTATATTCCTCTAAATTCCTCCTACATATTACCTCCAAAATCTAATCATTTTATAAAGGGTTGCAATCGTGTTAGGCACTTGATGATAATTCGCGAGATTATTAGAGATCTATTAGATATCTAATCAGTGATATCTAACCAAAATTTCTCTGGAACCGATTTCAGTTACGTAACTGCTATTTGAATTTCTTCAGTTCCAGTTCTGGAACCTGTTCCAAAGCTTTATCAAACAAATCCCTTCATATGCCTCCTAATACCCCTAGTCCAGAATATCCCTCATAATCCCTCTAAATCTCTCAATATAAACTTAATCCTCTGATATTCCCCATAATCCCTTAAAATCCATTTTTATCCCTCTAATCCATCAATGTCAAATAAAAGTCCCATAATATTTCCTTTAATCCGTCCAAATCTACCCATATTTAATAATTAATCTTACTCTCATTGAACTATTGGGACTATTTTGTAATTCATTGCTTAAAAAGTTTTGGTTTTTCTTGAAAAATCGAAAAATATAGATTCTCTTTCGATATTTTGCGGCTTTATCGACCAAACCCTCCGACTTATCTCTAGTTGCAATGGATATAATAAATGGGATTCTATCTCAAAAGAGGGTTGAAAAATAGAGCCCCACCCTCAATTAGAGCCCCACCCTTTAATACAGCCCCACCTTGGAGGATAGTTGAAAAATAGAGCCCCATGGGGCTCTAATATAGGAAATACGGTATCTACTTTTTAAAAATCAGAAAAAAATCAGAAAAAATTTTTTTTGTTTTTTGTTTCCGGGGTTATTACTACATATTAAATTAACCCATACAGACCTCCTCGAGTCTTTACCCTATAACTCAAGAACACATTACCCAATAAAAAGAGGACCTATACGGTTAAGTAGAGGACAAAATTTGCTACAAAACTGCCTAAACTTTTAAATTTTACAAACAAACAAGAAAAAGTTATGGTCGAAAAACTGGCCCTACTCCCAACATTTTTCCCTATTTTTCACTCATAACCTAATTTAAAAAAGAAAATTTTTAAATTTTCACTTTGTGGAACTCCATTAGGTCCAACCAATTGTAAATTTGCATTAGTTAGAGCACTTGAAGGGCCTAAAATCCACAAAATTTAGGTAGGATTTATTCATTTACCAGCCCCTCCTCCTTTGGCTAAAATCGTTGAATTACCAGAGTTGCCAGTATTACTCAATCCCATAAATGTATTTCCATTGACAGAGGATGACTGTCCTGTTACTCTACCGTTAACCATATTTGTGCCTTAAGATTAAAGAAAAATTTATTTTAGAAAGATTTCTCTTAAAACCATTTGCCCCCATTCCCGTTCCATTAAGCAAAGCTCCTTTATCATCAATTGATAACATTGAGGGTGTCCCATTCGTTGCTTTTGATTCACCGGCAGACCCCACACCTACACCTGTCTGGGGATATCCAGCATTTGCACCGACAAAGGATGAAGCAGACCCATCTTGATTTCCTGTTCCTTGTATGTTCCCACTAGCTAGACCACCTAAAAGAGGGGACACATTTTTAATTGTATTTCCGTTTAGAATAATTTCCGGTTGTATTTTAGAATTCTATAAAGATTAGAAATTTAATGTGAAAATACATATTTGTGTTTTGTTTCCGGAAAGATTTACCATGTGTGTTTTCCGGTTGTAATTTTCAGAATTGTAAATACACTTACCGTATTTACTCTAATAATCCCCCAGTCCTTTATTAATTCCCCAGTCTCTATTAATTCCCCACTCTAGAGATGGGTTGAAAAATAATCCCCCTTCTTTCTACCCCACTCTATTAATTCCCCAGTCTCTATTAATTCCCCACTCTAGAAATGGGTTGAAACAATAATCCCCCTGGGGGATTACCAGAGTAAATACGGTATGTATATTAATTTGTATTTTCCGGTTGTATTTTCCGGTGTTTAATTACTTTCCGGTTATTTACAGAATTTTAATTTAAAGAATAATTATTGTTTTCCGGTTGTGATTTTACAATTACCATTCTGAATATTTAATTCTGCTTCTTTTTCCGGAAAGCTTTTTACAATGTGTTTTTCCGGTTATTTTCAGAATTATTAAATTGTGTTTTCCGTTTGTATTTTTGGTATTGTAAATTACAATTATTGTGTATTTTCTATTTGTGATTTCTTTTTGTTTTCCGGAAAGTTTTTATAATTTCTCTTTTCTGGCTAGTTTTCAGGATTATAATTTACAATTATAATTTGTATTGTTGTACTTTCACAATTACAATTGTCATTATTAAATTCTAGTTCCTCACCACTACTTGCTCCATTGCCATTAATTCCACGAATACCATCACTTACACTAACTGACTTATTTGCTCCATTACTTTTTCCTTGCACACCCACCATGCCGTTAACAGCTCCAACAGAGTTAATGCTCGAATTTCCCCATATTCCACCTTCACCTGGTCCTGATCCATTCATTACAAGATTTCCGAATGAATTTACATCTAAATTATTTGTATTTTTTGTATTTTTTGTGTTTTTGTATTTTTTGTGTTTTTTGTATTTTCTTGTGTTTTTGTATTTTTTGTATTTTTTGTATTTTTGTGTTTTTGTATTTTTGTGTTTTTGTATTTTTGTGTTTTTGTACCTTTTTGTGTTTTCTGTATTTTTTGTGTTTTTCTGTATTTTTTGTGTTTTTCTGTATTTTTTGTGTTTTTTTGTGTTTTTGTATTTTTTGTGTTTTTCTGTATTTTTTGTGTTTTTCTGTATTTTTTGTGTTTTTTTGTGTTTTATTTTTTGTGTTTTTCTGTATTTTTTGTGTTTTTCTGTATTTTTTGTGTTTTTTTGTGTTTTTGTATTTTTTGTGTTTTTCTGTATTTTTTGTGTTTTTCTGTATTTTTTGTGTTTTTTTGTGTTTTATTTTTTGTGTTTTTCTGTATTTTTTGTGTTTTTTTGTGTTTTTGTATTTTTTGTGTTTTTCTGTATTTTTTGTGTTTTTCTGTATCTTTTGTGTTTTTTTTGTGTTTTATTTTTTGTGTTTTTCTGTATTTTTTGTGTTTTTCTGTATTTTTTGTGTTTTTTTGTGTTTTTGTATTTTTTGTGTTTTTCTGTATTTTTTGTGTTTTTTTGTGTTTTATTTTTTGTGTTTTTGTATTTGTTGTGTTTTTCTGTATTTTTTGTGTTTTTTTGTGTTTTATTTTTTGTGTTTTTCTGTATTTTTTGTGTTTTTCTGTATTTTTTGTGTTTTTTTTTGTGTTTTTTTGTGTTTTTGTATTTTTTGTGTTTTTTTGTATTTTTTAAACAAAAAAGTAACGCTACTTGAGTTGCCAGAAGTCAAAGTTTCAGCTCCAACCAGTCTACTACCGCCTGTTTTCGAACTTACTCCTCCAAGCATATCCCCGGACAACTGCGAAGAGTTGCCAATTCCAGTACCTTTGCAATACAATTTTAAAAATAATTTTTAATTGTAAAAGACCATTAGCCGAAACACGCGAATAAACATTTCCACCACCGTTGTCATTAACTCCAGACACTAATCCATTGGCGGAGAGGGCTTTAAAATACAATACATTAGTTAAAATTTTGTATGGATATGACTCAAACTTAAATTGTCTAGCCCTTGGGTTTTGAAAAAGCACGTAAACTAAAATGGAATGTACCCAATACTGGGCGTATCGCTTGTGTAGTCTGTGACCACCAAATCATAAAAAATGATATCACATTAGTAGAGGTACACAATAGAAAGGTCCGACTGTAAGTAAGCCTGGCCTCATAAAAATACCTGGATTATATAAAGAACTTCCACTCAACATTATATTCGCTTGGGAGTTGTTTTCTCCTTAAATTTTTTTTGTTATTAAAAAAAATTTTTAACAACATATGTATGTATATTTACCCAAAGCAGAAGATACTGCTGACAGATAAAGCATAACCGACCCCCAATTTAGTGCTTGCCCGACAGATAAATATACATTGGTCAATATATTGCCTGTTGCTCCAGCTCTGCCCCTAGCAGTCGCAGCTGAGAGAATTTTTTATATTTTCTAATCTCTCAATTATTTACTGTTATTTCCATTGGCAGAACCCATGTTGTCTGCAATCACTTGAGAATTGCCTTTTCCCGAGGCAGATCCGGAGTCCGTTCCTGACTGACTTAGAGTGTTTCCATTAACGTCTTAAATTACTCTTTTGCTTCTTAAAAAATATTTTTCTTTTACTTGAAGCACTCATCCCCGATGCTTTGCTATTCGCTCCGACAGCATTTACGTTTCCATTGTTAGACGCCGAGTTTGCCCCAGCCATAGCATTTGACTGGCTCATAACATTGCTGGGACCAGTTCCAGCTGCGTTTCCGGATTATGTGCCTTTAGGAAAATTTTTTGAAATTTTGAAAATTTTCTGAAAATTTTCAATCCTTTACCATTCGCCCCGACTGTTCCGTTTGGAGTTTTCCACATTGAGTTTGAAGAGGATAAATCCTAAAAATATTATTTTAATTTTAAAAATGGTTACGAACAGTATTGCTCCCGTTCGCTGTAGCTTTTCCAGATGAGGCAACAGGGGTGCCACCAGCTGCAAAATTTATATAACTAAATTATTGGACTGTACCCTATTTTCAAAAAAGTATTCCTGATAAAAATTCCGGAATGGTTTGTATTTTATTCTGTATTTTTTTCACTATTTATATAATTTTTGACTTTCCGGAAAATAATTATATTTTTCCGGGAATTGATTACAATTGTCCAGAAGAAAATTATTCCGGAAAAATATTAAGTACACTCTTCCGGAAAAAGTAATTACAACCTTCCGGAAGAATATTAATTATAATTTTCCGGAAAAATATTATTTACAATCTTCCGGAAAAAATTTATTACAATTGTTCGGAAAAAAATTACACCTTCCGGAAAACAATAATAAGAATCTTCCGGAAGAAAATTACAACCTTCCGGAAAAAAATAATTACAATCTTCCGGAAAGATATTATTTACAATTTGCGGAATTTAATTAATTACAATTTTCTGGAAGAATATTAATTACAATCTTCCGGAGAATATTAATTACAATTGTCTGGTCATTATTTTCAACTTTTCCGTAAAGTAATTAATTACAATCTTCCGGAATCAAATATTTAATTCGTTCCAATTGTAATACATATTAATCTATCCGGAAAGTAGTTTTCTTTAAATTTAATTAAAATTTCCGGAATTTATTTATTCCTTCCGGAAACTTATATTCAAGTTAATATTAAAATTAACATTGTCTTCTTTCTCTAACAGTTGCATTTGTGAATTGTACCATAATTAGAAGTATGCTCAAAAATAAAAGGAATATTATTAATGAAGGCATTCTCTGCCTTAATAAATGTGCAGAATTAATCATTCTTTAGGGTTACCTTTTTTAAAAAAATTTTTTTTATTTTAATTTTACCGTAAATACTCTAAGATAATCCCACTCTCTAATACAAGCCCATTCAAAATGACCTTAGTCCAGTCTCTAATGAGGATATTGGGACTCGACAAGTGATATGTCATTCGAAGTAACTTGGAAAACTGAGTCAATCTAGTGGACAAAAACCTTCAATAAGCCCGGTCTCTCTAATACAAACCAAATCTAATACAAGGCAAGTCAGAGTGATAAATACAATCTCAGGGCTTGTATTTGCGGTATATTAAATTTAAATTTATTCGATATTTAAAAAAAATTTTTAAATAAAATTTTTAGTTAATAGTATTATTATTAAAAAATTTATTATTAAAATATATCATTATTTTAATGTGAGAGATAACATGTTTAGTTGTGTGATTAAATTTTTGAGTATTTTTTTAAATGGATTTAAGTAGTTTTTAATCCCTTTCTGTGTCTAAGCCTTCAATTCAACACAATGTTGAATTAAATATCATTATTATATAATTTTAATAAATCCCCATTTAAATAGGTAAAATAATAAAACACGTCCAATGGTGAATTTTTTACTAATTTTTTTATTAAATTTTTTGATAAAAAAATTTTACTAAAAAATTTTTTATATAAAAATTTGTAAAGCATTTTTCAAAATTATCCGACTTTTTGGGACGGGGTACAGCCTTACTACTTTGGCATTCCACCTCCCCATTCATTTTGGCCTATTGAATTATTCCAATCAGAACTCCAATCAGAACTTGCCGAAAAAAAAATTTTTCGAATCGAAACGAAATGTAAAAAAGGGCCCGAAATAGCGAAACGAAATTTCGGCCAGCCCTGATTCAAATTTATTTCCTATAAATTAATTAAAAAACAGGAATCAAGAAATTAATTTATCAAAATTTAAGGCACTTTATCTTAACAAAATAAGGCACAGAAAACAAGTAAAAGATTTTTTAAAAAGAATTATGCAAGATTACTAAAATATGAATTAAGTATTGCCTCAAAATATTAATTAAATGACTTAGTAGTTAAATAGTAGAGAGATTCGAAATACAGTTAGACCTTTATTTTAGGTAGGTAGACCCACAAACAGCCTCATATTTTAAATTAAAGGTAAATTTTCTGTAAGTTAAGCGATACACTTTCCGGAAGCACCTACCTTACTTACAAATTAGATACTAATAGTTGAATTTTTCTATGCCCCACGGATGTACTTAAAAACAAGCTCCAATTGTATTCATATTCCTAATTGTAAAAAATGCAAACTCAAAAATAAATTTCCCAAAATAAACCAAATTTAATGTACAATTTTTTTATACCCCAAAGGTGTAATTCAAGTGATTTTTAAAAAATCAGAATAAGAAAAAAAGTCATAAATTTTACTTTAAATTTTTCATGCCCCAAGGGTTTACTTAAAAACAAGGTCCAACTGTATTCATATTCCTAAAATTTAAAAAAATGCAAATTCAACGAATAAATTTCCTTATTATTTTCCATTCTCTTTATCCCCTTCTTCCCCTTTATTTTCAGCTTCTTCTACCTTTTCCTCCTCCAAAACACTTGCAAGAGCTGTTGTTTCATTTTTATTTTCAAATTTTATTTTTTCCATTCTTTCATAAAGCTGTCGATCTGTTGGAGCTATTAATCCTAATTTTTGAGCAGCATTTAATGCACGCTGTGCTTCTTTACGAGCTTCTTCACGACCAGTAGCTGCATCACCTTCCAATTTTGTTATAGCCACAAGAACACGGAAAATCTCACTCTGAAAGGAGAAAAACAAAATTTTAAACATCAGAATTTTCAAAAAAAAATAGAAAAATAGATCAGAAAAACAGAACAGAAAAATCAGGAAGATCATAACGAGAAAAACTAGGAAAAATCAGGATAGAAAAAACAGACTACAACCCAAAGGAAAAAACAAAAACGAAAAACCCAAAAAATCAGAATTTTGAAAAATCAGAACCAAAAAAATCAGAAGTTTGAAATTAAAAAAATTATTATAGAATTGTAAATACGACTTAAATCAGAACTGGATAAAACCAGAATTAAAAATTATTTAATAATAGAAAGAGAAATACACCTAAAATTACTTAACATGAACATACACATATTTCAATAACCAGAATTATAATTCAAAAATTAAATGAAAATCAGAATTAAATCAGAACTGAGCAAAATCAGAATTAAAAATTATTTAATGTAATAGAAAAAGAAATAAAAATCAGAACTATATAAGATAATACCTTAAAACACTCTAATAACAACCAGAATTACAAATCATAATTACAAATCAGAATTAAAATTTTAAAAATTTAAATAAAATCAGAATTAAGCAGAATTTCAGAGAAATACAAATCAGAATTACAATTCAGAAATTAAATAAAAATCAGAATTAAACAGAATTACAATTTTTAAAAATTAATTTACAAATCAGAATTATTCCCCCTTTAAAAAATATTTACCCCCATAATTTCACTAGCAACCATTTCCCCTCCATATTCAACCATATTTGCTAACCCAATTAAACCTCTTCTTTGTAATTCTGGTCTTTCAGCCATTGCCATTTCTTTAAATAATTCTACCCAACTTTTACTTGAAATTTCTTTAATAATTCTTGAACAATATTCTTTATCCTCTGTTAATATAGCAAAACCAGCTGTTGATGCAAGTCGTAAACGATCAGTTTCTGTGTCGCCTTCATCACAGTAAAGGGCCCAAACTTTGGCACGGTCTGTTCCTGGCTATATAAAATTTATTTTTTTATATTTTGAGGGGTTAAAAATTAGGCAAAAAAAAATATATTATTGACTAATTAAATATATTAGGGATCGGAAAAATTATCAAAAATAATTTCCAAAAGTTATTTTGAAAAAAAATTTTTTTCCAGAAAATTTCCCAAAATAAATTTCCCGAAAAATTTTCCCAGAAAATTTTTGGGAATTCGTTGAGGAACTTTTTCCTCAAATGAGGAACTTTTTTTTTTCCTCAAATGAGGAACTTTTTCTTCAAATCATGATTTTTAAATTTTTTTTTCTTACAAGTAAACATTCAGAACTACCACCAAAAATTCCTAACTACTACCAGCAATACACCAATGTGAAGAGCAGGGTCGATTTGCTATTGCTCTACACAATGGTCTACACACAATTCATCGCAAAAATTTTAAGTGGTAGTTCGGAATGTTCCCTTGTTAGATGCCCCCTTATTAAGATTTAACAGAAAAATTTTTCCCCTCCCTTCAAAGTACCTTAATAACTTCTTTATAATAATCTTCACAAAAAAGTAAATTAAGTAAAAGTTCAGCAGCAGCAGCCCTCAATTCTTCATGGGTTGGATCAAACCAATATTCTTCAATTTTGGGTAATGCTCTTTCATGTAAAATTCTTTTACGGACAGAATCACTAATTGATGCCAAATTTGTTAAAGTTAATAAACTATCATAATTTGCACGGCCTTCAACTTTAAATTAATTTTTTCGAGAAAAATAAAATAAAATTTTAACAAGAAAATTATAGTTCTCACTATGAAATACACCCAAAATTAGATAATTAAGTCCTTTTTAAACTGGCTAAACATTAAGTGAGGGAAGTAATACTACTAAATATCAGTGACGTCAAAGGTTACCTTCAAATTTCAATCCGAAGAGAAATTACATAAACATCGCTTTGCGTCTTGCAACAGCAAAAAATGGGAAAGAGAGAGGAAAAAAAGTCAAGAACTCGAAAAAACTCAAAACTTTTGTCTTTCCTGCCTTTAAATTTAATTTCTGTCGCAAGACGCATTCAAATTTTAAGCGATTCGAATTTCTCAACCCAAAAGGTAAATCTTATACCGAGGTCCAAATATATTTAATTATAAAAATTAAAATATATACCATCAGGATGTAATAAATCAACTAAAGGTTTAACTACTTCATACATTCTTTGACCGGCAAAAACAATATTTGGATCATTATGGGCACCTAGAAATTAAATTTTAATTATGAAAATAAAATTTAAAAATAAACCTAAACGTGCAATAGCATGTGCTGCTTTAATTTTTCCATCTGCAGTGCATTCTTTATATAATTGAAGTAAAAGTTTGGCACCCCCTTCGCTTATTATTTGACCTTTTTAAAATTAAATTTAAAAAAGATTTTTTATTTGTAAATTTTTAAAAAGGGGACAAAATGTCCATTCTCAATAAAAATGAATAAATAATCAAAAAAAGACAAAATAAAATTTTAAAAAAAATCTTACAAATATTAAATGGGATAAAATGTCATCCTTAAAGGTTTAAAAAATTTTCACCCTTAAAAAATTTTTTCCATCAGAAAAAAAAATTTTTAAGTGTGACAAAATGTCCATTTTAAATAAAAATGAAGAAAGCCAAAATTAAATAAAAAAATTTTCGGAACTATTAAAATTGGGATTAAATGTCGTCTTTTGAAAATAAAAAAAAATATTTTCATCTTTAGAAAGTTTAAAAAATTATTTTTTTAACAAACCAGAAAGATCTTCAAATGCACTAAATGCACATATACACCTTGCCAAATTATCCAAAGCACTTTTACTTTCAGTTTTAGAAACAAGCACACAAGCAGTCACGGCACCAGCTTTTACCTTTAAATAATTTTATTTTTAATTTTATTACAAAAAATTTTTTTAATTAAAACCATTTGTCTTATCCTTTTTTCGACAAAAGAATCAGCATCTTTTGGGTGTGTTTCAGGTACATGATGTTTGGAAAATTGAGCTAGTCTGTTGAAAAAATTATTTATTTTAAGATTATGTAAATTATCCAAAATTAAAAAGTCTAATTCAATGTTAAGCTAACACATTTTTTGATTAAAAAATTGTGTTATAATAAATATCTGAAATAATGGGCGTATTGTCCAGCACTCAATCCCAAAACAAGGATATCACAGGCTGAACAAAAAGTCATCTCGAGCTTACAAACTTTCTTCTGGTTGGGTTCGGGTAGAAAAAATCCTAGTTTAGGATATCGGGTCAAGCTTCAATTCGGGTCAGTTAAGGGATTAAAAGGGGGAAATGTCGGGTAGGATTTCGAGTAGAAAAAAGTTAGGGTTTCAAGTAACCCTCGATATTTTAGAAACCCTCATCCTGATGATCGACAAGATTTTAAAATGGAGATTGATTTAAGGTGTATTGTAAGGGTCTCTGAAATAAAAGTCAAAATCAACAAAATTTTTTGCCAAAAATTAAAAAAACAAACAAACTTAATCATTTCTTCATCAATTTTAGATTTTTCATAAGCATTTGCACAATTCATAAAAATAGCAGCCATTGTATAAACACATAGAGCACCAGCATTTTTTGCCAATTCAACTAAAGATTTAAGCAATTCTGTATCACAAACAATTTGTTCTTTAATTTCAGCATCTAAAGATAAATATGAAAGGCCTTCACAAGCAAAACGGCGAACATCAACCTTTTTTAAAGGAAGAAAAATTTAAAAAAAAATTTTCTGGTCCAAAAAATTTAAAATAAAAAATCGAAAAATAAATTTAAAAAATGAAAAAAAAAATTTTTGTAAATTAAAGAAAAAAAAATAATTCTTTAAACACGAAAAGGAATCGAACCCAAAAGAAAATTTTAACTAACAAAATTAGAATCAAAACACCTAACCACTACACCAGGGTTGCCGCCCGAAACCCGAAACCCGATACCCGAAACCCGAAACCCGGCCTTTTTTTGTACCCGAAACCCGTTACCCGAATTGAAAATTTTCCAACCCGAAACCCGAAACCCGTACCCGATATTTTTTCCAACCCGAAACCCGAAATTGGTTAAAACCCGAAATTTCTACCCGAAAAATTAGCCTTACCCGATTTTTTTAAATACTAAATTTAAAAAATTATAGAAAGAGAAATACGGAAAAGGGAAATAAATATACATATTCATAATTTCTTCAATTCTTATTATGTTGATCGGTGGTTGAATGGGTAAGGCGACTGGCTCGGTATTTTCATAGGGGTGGGTTCGAGTCCAGAGCTGGAAATCATGCAAAAAAATTTATCTTTACAAAAATATTTGTTTTTAAACTTTGATTTTCAGTTTAAATTTTTTAATTTATTTTTTTTTAATATTTTAAACTTGAAAAAACATTATAAATTTTAATTTAGTCATGAATTTTGCAAAATTTTCTCTGATGCGCATAAATTTAAGTGTTCTGTCTTTATGACTAACTAAAATTCAATAAAATTTTTTGCCTGTGGCTCTGGCAATTGAATTTTTTCTTCTACGGCCTTATAAAATTTTCAAAATTTTCGCCTCCGGCGGTGAAAATTAAAGAAATCTGGCTTGAGGATCATCCAAAATTCTTCAAATTTTCGCCTGCGGCGCAAAAAATAGAAGAAATTTGGCTTCATGGTCTTCCAAAATTCTCAAAATTTTCGCCTGCGGCGCTGAAAAGGGAGAAAACTGGAGGCTTTAATGGAGATAAAGCGGAGGGATATTATACATAGTGGGATTTTATCAAAGTGGGATTTTACAAAGATATCCCTCTTAATCCCCAAATCCACCAATGTCTCTTTAATCTCTTCAAATTTGCCTCTCTCTTTATCACCCAAAATCCTATTATGCAACATAGCTTGTCTCCTTACAATTTAGTTCACCAATACCCGAACATCCGAAAATAACCCGAATTTTTCGCCAAACCCGAAACCCGTACCCGAAGTTTTTGCCAACCCGAAACCCGTGACCCGAAATGAAAACGCTCCAACCCGATACCCGAAACCCGTACCCGAAGATTTTTTGTACCCGCGGCAACCCTGCACTACACCACACATTAACTCAGGTCAAACAAAACAATTTCAGCCCAAATAGGAAAGGAATTCTCCTTAATTTCTTAATAAATCCAAAAAAGATTAATCCAATCAATAACTTAAAATAATAAATTAAAAAATCCCAAAAATTAGAGTAACCAAAAAACCCATTTTCTTTTAGAAATTTAAAAATTCATCAAAAAATTTAAAAAAAAAATTTTCTATACCGAATATTTATTAGCATTTTCTACAACCAAATATTTCCTACAAGCCATTGCCAATTTTGTTCTAGATTCATCATCCATAGGTTGACGACTTGGAAAAAAATATTTTTTTTAAACTTAAAATAAAATTTAAAAAAAACCTGCAATCATCCCCAGCAGAAGCGGCACATTTACATAAACCTACCAAAGCCCGAACTCGAACATTTTGGTCTTCAGAACGATAAAGCTTTTTTAATACTGGCTTAAAAAATATTTAAAAATTAATAGAAAAGTAAGCGAATAGACCCAAAACTCGATAGAATTTAAAATTTTACCGTACCGTATTACGTTCCGTACTAACATGAAAAAGGATGTTGTCCACAAAAATTATTGTCCGCAAAAAATTTGCGGATTTTCATTGTCCGCAAAATTTTGCAGATTTTTATTGTCTCAAAATAATTTTGCGGATTTTTATTGTCCGCAAAAAAATTTGCGGATTTTTTTTATTGTCCGCAAAAATTTTTCGGATTTTTATTGTCCGCAAAAACATTTGCGGACAGATTTACCAAAGAGTACTCATCCGCAAAAAAAATTGCGGACACCCTATTTAAAACCAATATTCAATTTTTAAAAATTATTTTCTAAAAAATATTCCCTGATAAAAAAATATAAAAATAAACAAACCAATCCTTGTTTAATCAAAGCTGTTGCCCTCTCATATTTACTAACAGACAAAACAATTAATTCAACAGCCAAGCTTTGTTGTAAATTATCCCCATTTTCAACATCTGCCATAGACAACATAATTCCAGTAATTTTATCATTTGTTAAAAGATTAAAACCGACATCTATTGGACCTTGCATTAAAGTTATTAATAGAGCAGCCAATTTAATTTTGGAAATTCTTTGGTCAATGTCGATTAATAGGCCATCAAAAACATTTTTAACAACTTCTGAATAGAGAGCACGACGTTGATCAAATACCTGTTTTTTGGAAAAATTTTTAAACGTTAAGTTTAAAAAAATTGTATTTAAGACTTGAAAATAATTGTCTGCAAGAAATTTGCAGACAAAAAATTTTATCCGCAAAAATTTGCGGACAACCAATATTATCTGCAAAAAATTGCGGACAACTCACTTTATCCGCAAAAATGTAGGGACAATCGATTTTGTCCGCAAAAATTAAAACCATCGATTATATCCGCAAAAAGAGGAGGAGATTGTTGTCCGGGAGATTGTTGTCCGCAATAAAGTTACAGAAAACCAATTTTGTTCAAAGAAAATTTAAGAAAACTCATTTTATCCGCAAAATCGGGAGGATAGAAAGGGAGAAGTCCGCAAAGAATTTAGCAGATTAAATTTGCGGAAAAATTTTGCAAATTTAATTTGCGAACTGAACTAGCGGATTAAACTTGCGGACTAAATTTTGCGGACTAAATCTGTGGTATCAGAAACGTCAAATTAAATATTTGGGTTGCTGACAATTAATAAAACGAAGACAAAAGTTTTAATATAATATTTTATTATAGCACCTCAAACTTGGGTAATTAAACCCAAACTAAACAAAGAAATGTGTGAACAAAAAATGTGTGAACGAAAAATGTGAAAAATGAATAAAATCGCGAAATTAATAAATTTATTAAGTTCTTGGGTCGCCACAGGAGAGGGATAGCCAATCATTGTTGTCGGGGCACTCCTTGCCGTTACCGCTCTCTCGGCCAAAGAAGGCTAGGGAACGGTTCCGGCAAGGAGCGCCTGTTGTGGTGTGTTGCTGTCCCAAGTGGGATGAGGAAAGAGTGAAGTGTTGTTGGGAGGAGTGTGCTTCTTTAAATAGTGGGGGTAAATGATTATATCTTCTTTTAAAAATAAGTTATTTACATTACAAAATTATTGTGGGAATGTTGTTGTTAAAAGATGAGGGGAAAAGATTGTAGGCCAAAGAAGGCTAAATAAAAAATCTTTTATTAAAAGAAAAAACATTTTTTATAAAAAGAAAAATTTTTACACAAAAATAAAAAGGAATGTGAATTGATTGGTCGGTGATTCACTTTTTTCACACCGACTGACAAAAGAATAAAAAACAAAATAAAAATTTTATTTTTACCCGGGAACGCCCGAGTCTCGTGTCTCGGGCGTTCCCGACACTCCCCACGTCGTAGCTATTCCCTCAGGAATTGGACCTTAGTTTGGTCCCTGTCCTTTAACTTCCGCATCACTCGTGTTGAGATTCGGTTTAGCTCGTATCTACTGAGGGTGTCGGGTGTTGAAATTGTTTCTAGAGTTGGCTCTTCTTTTCCCTCTTGTATCCGGATTATCGAATGTCTTCTTGTTGCTTCATTATTGTGTGTGGCCTCGATCAGATTGGTGCGCTGTAGTATCTTCTTTATTCCCCATGGGAGTATGTACAAGTATAGTATGGATAGAATGTTGTATACGAACGTAAGTTTGAACGCAGTTTCCCAAGACATCCATTGTGTTAAGCTGAAGGTGTAGTCGAACCGTTGGGGTTCGTAATTTTCTGTCGTACTTTTGTCACTCATGATTGCTTGCATGTGTTGTCCTCTGGCGAAGGTTCGAAATGAAGCTAGCAACCTGATTGTTGGGTCGGAGTCGTTCGTTAATTCTAAATTCTTGAAGATGAGCGTGTCCAAAGTTGGTAAGCTCGAGCCGTTTAGTTGGTCTAGCGTTATTGTTTCGGCTTGTGGGTGATTGACTACGTGTCCTTCAATTTGGTCTATTGTGAGTAGTTCTCCTTCCCAAAGCATTGTTTGTCTTCGGTATTTCTTACAACTTCCATTTTTTGACTCCTCTCGAATTATTAGTGATACTGGATCTAAGTATGCTTGGAAATAGTTGTCGTATATACTGATGTTGACTGGTAGAAACTTGAAACAGTTCTTCTCTTCGTTAGGTAGGAATTGCACGTTCTTCTTTTCTATTCGAATGCACTTCTTTACCTCCAGGAGGTTTCGCCCGCTGTTGGTTATCCATCGTGCTTCGATTAAGTCTTGTTGGAATAGGTTTCGAGCTATTGTTGTGGCGTCCATGGCCGTGAACGGGAGCCTATGTAGGCCAGTGTTCAGCAACCAACAGACTGTAGTCTTTAATTTGGTTATGCCATTGAGTTGCGCCGCTGTGAGCTGGCTTGCAAGTTGCTCGGTTTTGACTGTCGCTCTTTTGCTTCGTATTCTCGTGATTCTGTCGAATACTTCTTGTTTTATCAAGTATCCTTGGTCTGACATTACGTAGTCGTGTCCACAGTCTTCTTTTGTTTGAGGGTCTGACGTGAACGATAAGGCCAGATCTTCTTTGGTCCAAATTTTTTCGGTTGGGTAATAATCTCCGTGCCAAGTGGCGAGATACGTGTACTTGCATCTTACTTCCTCTGTGGGTTTCTTCCAGACGATTAGTGATCCTCCTTCGGTCGGGCATTCTTCATCCTCTAGTGAGCACTTGGCCATGTTGTCGATTGGCGAGTGAAGTGCTTCGGTGGATGGATCAAAATATAGTTTACAGTCCGTTTGGAAACAGTTTGTTCGTTGACTATGCTGTGTGGAGAAATAGCTGTAGTCTATTGTTGGGTTGAAATCGTTCAGAGTCCGTTTGATTCCTTCATTTGCAGTGAGCGGTCCGTATTGGCAGTGGTTGGTCTCTGTCATCCTGAGACACTCTTCTTTCGAAATCGGGAGTGTCTCGCTGGTGGTCACATTCCTTCCTTCCCCGATTAAGTTTTCCCAGTACTCTACCTTCTGTCTTATAATGACACACCTACTTGCCTTGACTTCCCTGGCTTCCATATTTACCCGATACACTTGCAGTCTTAATTTGACCTTGGTACCCGGTAACCACTCTGAACAAGACATACCTCGGTGTTGTAAGTCGATCACTCTTGCGGGGGCCACCTCATTGCACATCATTGCCGACTGCCCGACGGTCCATCTGAACTTGGAAATTAATAAAATTAGTAAGAGTAAGGTCCAATAAAGTCTTTTCTTGCCTCTATTCTGCGGCCCAGGAGGGCTTGCAATTCCTAGCAGGTCCAAAGAAGGACGCGCGGCAGGCCAGATGAACCTGTCCCGTTGTCTGCCCATGGTGGTCGTAGTTTTTCTTAACGTCTCGCTTGTTACATTTCTAGCTACGTTGTTGTTGTCGTCTGTTGGGTCTCGCACAAAAATTGGTTGGGTCCCATCTTCTGGCATTCTTCGCTCCATTCCTACAGCTGTGATGACCATCCCCTGGTAAGGGAAGCTAGCAAAGTAGTCGAAAAAGGCGAGGAGTTTCCAAGCCGTATCTTTTTTCAAATGATGAGTCCTGCTGTGGAAGTGAGCCAACATAATGTTCCATGCGTAGCTATTCAAGAAATGATGAGTAGAGTCATTTAGACCTTTACCTTTAGACCAAATTTTGAGGATGGTGCTTAAGGTTCTCAGCCTTCGTTCCGTGATGTTTTCCCTCTGCCATCTTGCGCTTTCTACCACTTTCGTGCCAGCGTATGAGACGTCAATTTCTAGGTCCTCAGTCTTAATCCGAATTATTTGTACGTTGCGGGTGAATATCCGGAAGCAATGATCGAACCAAGCTTCCTGCCGGCATGAAGCCCACAAGTGTCGTTGAATTGATGCCAGTTCTCTTCTTTTTATCTCAGTTGTCACTTCGCCCCGAATTGCTCTGTCCGGAAGTACGGTGATGTCGAGGTCGCTGTCTTTCAAGTCTAATTCAGCCGCGGAACTTCCATATAAGCAAACTCGAGCTCTTCCCCATCGTTCATAGAGAATTCGTTCTATTTTTCTAGCCAACTTCTTCTTTTCTTCTCTTTTTTCTTCACCGAGGAGCCACGCGTTCGCAACGAGATCTAGGTCCGCAGAAAAACCATTTTCGTCATGTTCTCTCCAATATTTAGTGATGAGATTTCCATAATACTGGGGATATTCTTCTGTTGCCTCCGGCCCAAGAGGGCTTGGAGGGACTTCGGAAGGGGTCTCTGCTGGAGTTGTTTGAATATGAAAGATGTTTTGCAACCTGCTTTCTAAGGTCGGCCTGTCGGACGTGCTTGGTGTGTCATCCACGGGAGGCTGCCAATTGTATGACATCATTTCCTCGACTAGTCGTGTCACCGCGGTTGCTCCACTTTCTGTTAGGAAGCCGTGGCAGTTGATCCAGTCTTGGTTGTTGGGTGCGATGATCATCCGGAACGTTGATTCGGTTTCGCGGGCGTCCTTCATTAACTTCTTGAATCCCTTCTCATAATCCTTTCGGACGGCCGTGACTTTAGTTGGTGGGAGGATCCAAACAACATTGCGCCAAAGGAGGCTCAAAATGTTAATGAATGGAGTGGTGTCGCGACTGAATACCTCCCAAGGTGTTTCTCTCAGAATATGTGACGTCCCTAGCGAGATGATGACCCAATCGGTTATCGGCGAATAGAAGAGGGTTGTTAGATGTTCCGCGCTCTTCGGAATGAGCGTGTAGGCTCCCAGATTACGTCCAATTTCAGCACAGTATTCCTCGGTGATATGAACCTTCTTCGCCTCTACCATATGCGCATCTCCAATGAAAAATTTTGCCTTCATCCGATTGGCTAGCTTCATAACACTTCCCTCCATCATTTGAACTAATTCATCTAGCCCTTCGTCTTCGATATGTTCTCGTACCGACTCTGGTCTGATTGCGACGTAGTTGTTCCTTTCTATGGGATTTGCGGCTCCTTTGCAGTAGATTCGCCAGACCTTCAGCGCTTCTTGCAATTCCGTTAGAGTCCACCATACGAGGTCTTTCTGTCCTATTCCCTTCGTTCTCTTCCTCCATTTCTCGTGGCTGGCAGGGATATCCGATTTTTTCCACCCGATCTTGATTTGTCCTCCCATCTCCTGCCTTGCCTGCCGGGCCATCCGCAACAGTTCCTCCGAAGGTGGTGTCTCGCAAAATCTTCTAACCCACAACTTTATCTTCTCTTCAACCTTGCCGTGCACCGTTGCCCATAGAAC